GAGCAGCGAGAGCAGCGAGAGCGTTCCCGCGGGGTCCCGCCGGGACCACAACTCCCGGCACGCCTCGCGCGCGGGGGGCACCCCGGGGAGGGTGGCACTGATAAATGGAAATCGTTCCAGTTCAATTAATAAATTGGATCCGCGGGGCTCGTTTCTCCCTGGGCGGCGCCTGTGCCCCGCGCCCGGCAGCGCGGGCTGCAGCGGTGCCCCGGTGGGGACGTGGCGTTCGGGGATGCCGAAGGCTCCGTGCTGGCAGGGAAAGCCCTCGAGGCAACGCTCTGCCAGTGTTTTTTTTGGTGTTTTTTTTTTTTTTTTAATTATTTTAAATTCTGGGGGCAGGGGCGGGGTGTAACAGCGTTCACTTCTTCCAGTCGCTCAGCTGCCAGCATCTTCAGCGGGAAGGCCATGCCCGTGGATACAGATCCATCATTAATGACAGGAAACTTAAGCTACGGGGTTACAGCGGACAATTTTGCCTGCTCTGCCCAGTTCTGTCAGTCGGCGCTGCAACCCTGCCTGAGAGGCAGCAGTCCCGCAGAAAGCACAGGGGTAGTGGAAAGGAGGCGTGGATAAGAGAGCAGGGTTTGTTGGGATGGCTGGGCCGTGCCAGGGAAAGCCAAAAGCAATCCCAGTCCGTTACCAGCAGTGAGCTGATGCTGCAGGAGAGGAGTCCCGTGCTTCATGGAATTGCCCTTGGCAGGCATAAAGAGGAAAAGCTGCAGTCAAAGTACGAAACCTCTTGTAGCCTCAAGATGCGTAGGAAATAAAGAAACAGTACCTTGAAGGGCTAGAAATTCTTCACTAACAGACAACTCATTCTGTCACTAATTCTGCTACTAAAGACTGGTCAATCTACACATTCATGGGAAAACTACCTCCCAAAGACTAAAGTCTTAAAAGTGAAAGGAATAATATGGCTTTCCTCTTTGTGTATTTGCTTCTAGTTGTATAGTGGCTGGTAAAGTGTAGCCTTAGGCTGCTTCAATTTTTTTAAAAACAAAAAGAAATTAAGGTTTCTGACAATCTGTTTTTATCACGGCTGTTAAGAATTACCTGCTTTTCCTCTAGTCCATTCATTTGGGATTTATGCAAAGCATACCAGGTTTCTGCCTGGGAGCCCTGCCTGGTGGGTAGTCCAAGTTGGGGGTTTGGGGATTAGATTGTTTCCTCACAAATTCAACATTGCTGCTGAAAGTTTGTGACTTTGGTGGTGGTGGTGGTTTTGATTATTTGTTTATTTTTTTAATGTAATGGTTGAGTTCACCTTGCTTGCCCAGCTGTAAGTGTGCAAAGCAGAGCAGTATGTCCAGTCCGGCCCTGCTCCTCAGCTGCTGCTGCTTCTGCTCTTTATAACACTTAGCCCTTATTTCTGAATCTTCTTTTTTTCTTCCACAGGCAAGGACTAAGGGCAAGCAGTACATGAAAAAATTCATTTTCTTATATGGACATCGTTTCTGTGTCCACTCCTGAATTTGCACGTGTTGAGAAGCAGAGGATTTTGTGCTAATTTCATGGGAACATTTGGTGTCATCTACATTTACATTTGCAGGTAAGCTCCATATTGACACCACTTGGATGATTCAGATAAGCATAGGCAAGGGATAAGGCTTGTATTCATCTTGGCACTCAGCTAATGACATCTGCCTTCTGAAAGAAACAAATAGATTTCTCTTTGGTTCAGTTGTGCCAACACTGCACGGTAGGGACAATTTGGAAGGCACCTTCTCCAGTTTGCATCGCTTAGTTCCACAACTGCATTATTGTCCTTTCCGTGCTGTGGGAACCAGCGGTCTCTTGTGGCTGGGGAGAACAAGTGCAGGTGTGATGCTAACCTGGAGCAGGCAGCTACAATTTTCTCCTAAGGACAAGGAAAAGAGCTTTGTTTTGTCATTCTGTGTCTCGTCAGTTGTGATTTTTTTCTTTTCCTATCTATGTAGAGTTTTTCATCACCCAGATTTTGGAGGCATGGGAGGTGTGAATGGCAACTGTGCAGCATCCTGGCCCTTCCAGAGGAAATCCATTTGAGCACTGGACAGTTAGTTTTTTGTTTGGCATACAAGTGCTACTTGAACAAACTAATACTGTCACAAGCAGTTTGCTACTGCGTAATGAGATCCCAGAACTTTCTAGAATGGTTACTTCTGGCACCAGCAGCCGATCAGGTTGTTGGCTCACACCAGAGCTGTAACTGGGGTAGATTTCCATCTGCTACACAAAGCTCTGGAGACTTGTCAACCTGCAGAACTGAGTTCAGCATTCCTCGTATTTGTTCTCTCCCTGGTTTGAGTTTGCTACAGCTACTTCCCTCCTCACCCTCACTCACAGCGAGCTGTAGGTCTGGGAGTCCACGTGTTCTTTAGGCGGCTTCACAGCAGTGTCCTGGCTGGAGCCACACGTGACTCCCTGCACTGTGCCAGCACTGAGAAAGCCATGTAATACCAATTTTCCCTATGCGGAGAAGCAAACCAGCCCAGGCTGCTGCTGTCCTCTCCATTCAGGAGTGGACCACTGTAAACCCCTTCTGGCCCACTTAGCCCTGGAGGGATGTGGATGTGTGTGGTGGATATTGGTCAGGTGCGCTCACGCTGTGAGACACAGGTTAAGGAAGTTGGCAGCCTATGCGTGGCCTGAGGCTCCACAGCCCAGAAGTATTTATTCTGAGAAGTGTGAGCTGCTTCACTGCTTGGATGCCAGCTGTCATTTAACAAAGACAATTGGTTTCCTGTGTATTTGCCTTTTGTGATTGACTGGTTTTGGTGTGTGGGATGATTTGATGTGAGCTCTGATTGAAGATAAAAGGAGACTTCCTCCTGAGCAGATTCTCTCACATTATTTAATAAAGCATAAGGTTACAGACCCTCTGCACAAAAGAACTTGCCCAGGTCACTGAGTATGACGACACACACCCCTTCATGGTTTAAACCTCACTTCCATAGGAAACTTGGCCAAAGACAACCACCTTAAGGCAGGCTTTATTTCATTACAGCCAAAATATTTTCAGTGTTTACACCATCCCACCTCAGGTCTTGCCTGTTTGCTCTGTGGTTGTCAAGAGGCATCCTGAAATTTGCACTTGTGGAACAGCATGAAACACGTTGGAGTGTTACAAGGTGCAGAGTGTGCATGTTAAAGTGCTGCTAATCACCAACATCAAATTTTTTATTAATTTCTCTGAGGATGCTGTGGCTTTTTTCAGAGTGGCTGGATGCAGCAGAATCCAGCCAGTGTTGCAGGTAAAAGACCATTGGCTGCCAGACATACAGTTGTATTTGCCAGGTGTGTAGGAATGTCAGTTCTAGCTCAGACCATGCTCTGAGTAGCCTGTTGGCAGTATAACTAAAACCAGGTACCAAGGGAAGATCAAGAGCAGGACAGTGGCATATGGCACTTCCCTTAATACTCTTCATGCTTCCGACTATTTTCAGCTCTCCAGACTTTCTTAAGTCCTTACTGCTGTGCTGTCAGGTTCTGCCCGAGAGGAGCAGAGGTGAGAGTGCACCAGGGTCAGCTTAAACAGTGGACTGTCTAAGGCCAGTTGTTGAAGAGATCCATAGTCTCTGTGTGCCTGTGTCTGTGGGTGCAAGCAGGTCTGAGTGCCAGCAACCTGACCTGGTCGTGAGCTTTAAGGTCTTGCATGACCAGGTGTCTGCAGCTGGAGAGAACAAGAATCTGGGAATGGTTAATGACCATCCCCTATTACTGAGGAACCCCTGTCGTTTGTCACAATGTATGTTCCACAACATACCTTCATTCCAGAGAGCAGAACAGGATTATGGCATTGATCTTGTTTCCGTTTTTAGAAGTGCTGTTTTCTGGGTTTATGTGTGTTCATCTGTGTGGCTGCCCATGTGCATACACCCAGAGATTTTTGTGTGTGTGCCTACTGGGAGTACACACTCAGCCTTGACACTGGCTGGACCTGGGGAGATGGAGATGCAGACTGTCAGGCTACCAGGTTTAGCATCTCCTGCAGGCAGGAGGTTAATTTTTGCTAAGAAACATGGTTAAAATGTAGCCTTTGTGTGTTAATTATTTCACCAGCTATACTGTACCAAGTTCATGAATAACTTATCAGCAGAAATGCATGCTTACTGTATTTTCTAGAGTAGCTGCATATCTGCTCCTCTGATGTTTCAAATACAACTGAAGTACAGGGTGTCCCTTCTAAACATGGTGTTTGAACCCATCCGTGGATTACATCTCTATTAGCCAAAGGATGTCAGTGCTATGGTAATTAGTTTACTAGTCTGCCTCTGCAAGAGCAAATTAGGTAAGGAGAAAGGGAGATGACCTACAACACAACAACAAGCTGAGAGCTGACAATTTGATACTTAAGATTGTCCTGATGGGTACGACTTACCAGGCACTGCTGCTAGGAAACACGTTAGCATTGTGTGGAGAAAGTAATTATTTCCAAAGTGTTCTTCCCTGAAGAGCAGCAACAAACTAGTTTGTGTTTTTTCATCATATATAAAGCAGGATGACTCTATCTACATACTGTAAAGCAATATCTCACAGATTATTTGGTAGAATAATAAACAGCTATGATAAATCTCTGCACAAAAAAGCAGGCTGTCTGTTGTTTGTCTTTATTCTTTTACGTGTTTGGCAGCTGCTGTCAGGCCATTTTTTGTTAGTGAAACACAGCACCGTCTCCCTTCAGGTGAAATACTTGCAGAAAGCATTAACAAGACACCTCCGTGAACACATGACAAAAAAGTCTGCATGAATAATTTAACACGGTAGCTGAGTTTAAAAATAGGTGGAAGATTCCAAATTAAGTATAGAGACAGGAGCTTTAAAAAGCCTTTTTTCCTACTTTAAGCAGCTCTTCTAAGTGATACAGAAACTACGTTACTGCAGGGCCATAAAAGCCCTAGGAATCAAGAAACCTCAGAATCCAGCACCCTCTCTCGCCACTATTAATACCTACAAGTAGCCTGTACTTTTAAAATTCTCTTTAGAAAATAATTTTTAAACAAACAGCACTCAGGAATCAGTGTTATTTCATAAAAGTTTAATGTTTGTTTTTAAAATAACACTCTTTAATCAAGATAAAGGAGTCCACACATACAGAGTCTTCTTGAATGCTGGCAAAAAAGCTTAAATTACAGACATACCTGTGAACAGCAGGTTTAACCAGTAAGAATGCAGAAAAAGCCCCACTGATTAATCATATTAATAATAACGAAAAGAATGTGCCCTCACACCAAAGAGAAGAGAAAAAGATACCATTCCAGTCATGCAAATCTGCACTCACCTTCTCAGAACAGGTTTACCGAAGTCCAGCAATTTCAGATAACATTTTCTTAGCTCCTGTGGAAAGTAATAAAGCCAGCAAAGACAACAGGCTTTTTACAGCAAATTCTGCGTTCATTCTAAAATCCAGTTTGCTGAGCATCTGTCAGGTTCGACTGTTACACTCCCAAATCTGAGGCCCTTTTAAGCTTTTAATTACTTCTCTCCCCTCTGCATCAAAAGCTTTCTGGAAGAAATTTGGCAAGCTGTGAGAGACCAAAATGTTAATGGCCATTTGCAAAAGCAGCTGCTTTGCTGGCTCTGTGCAAGGTAACAGCCCAGGTGCAGAGGGGGTGCACACCCACCACCGGAGGCTACAAGCTGGGTGTTCAGCCAGATAAGGGAGAAGGCTGATGAGAAGCAGACCCTGCGGAGGTGGGATAGATGGGGAGGTATCAGGACATTCACATTCACATGTAGGCTTAAAGGTATTCATCCCTCCCCTCATGAGCCATAACTAGCTGACATGAGAGGCAGCTGTCACATCTTAGAAGGTGTCATAAACCATCAAAGGCCCCTGAAGCGCCCCCAGACTCATTTCTGAGGCCTTCCACCTGTCTTTCTTTTCCTTATACAATTTAAGTGTTATTTTTATGCTTCTATATTGATACATTTCCACAGATAGTAACCAAAACAGCTACATACTTCCTTTCCATTGCAACGAAATTGTTCTGAAATAAACCTGCCATATATATATATATATGTGTATTTATAAACACCAGTCGTTTTGCTCTAATCTGCCCCAAGGGATCTATTATTAACAAGAACCTCAGCTACCCTGCCTTCAGGGGCGGGTTGTAACACAAGTTTAATACAAAATGAAAACAGCTGTCACTGAATGTACTGTGTATGCAGGTAGTTCACGGGGAGAAGGGATTTTTAAGAAGTGGGGTAACTAAAAGATCTATGTATTTGATGCTTTGGTCTACAATGCTAACCATATAAAGCAGAGGGTTTCATCTTAGAAACCTGAAATAAAACTTTCAACTTGTTAGCCTTTCTTGCATTCTGAAGCATAAATTCAACTCTCGGAGAAATAATTACAGGTCATTTAGTATCCTGGATGATCTTTGGTAGACATTGCAGACAGCTTGAAGCAGGTTGTCCGTGCCTGTATCTTAATTCAAATGCCAGACAGATCCAATGTGAAGGATGAAGTACTACAGCAAATGCAGATATGGGATTTTTTTTTCACCCAGCCAAATTGAATCCATAGCATGACTTCATTGCACTGAATACATAAAATACAAGTGTGAATTGCTTTTGTAATCTTATCTTGGACAGTATGCCTAGAGACACAACAGAGATACACCAATTTTGAACCTCTCTCATACACTTAGTAAAAAAATATGTGTGAAACTAACTGGTAAAGGACATGAAGTTTAAACAGTACCTGGGAAAGCACCATCTTAAATGGGTTTAATTGCATTAAGCCTTTGGTTCTTAGGAGAAAATGCAGTGACTGATATTCCTTTGCTAATGGACTTTGTTCTTTTTTTTCTCACTAATCAAACATGTCTTAAATACTCATCTTGCAGGTGCCTCGCTACGAGTCCTTCTCTCATCTAATTGGCATTTACATTTCGTTTGTTTTTTTCATCTCCTGACAAGACACGAATACAGCTTAACATGAGTACTGATAAGAGGGCCATGCCAACCCCTTCTTTACCAGGTATCTGTTAGAGGGCTTTTCATGTTCTTCACAGCTACCATGGCTCCTAAAGATTTACTGTTTTTATATTCATCTAAAGTTTGTATGCAAATTAAATAGGCTGGTATCCTCAATGATTTGTAGTATTAGGTTCTGGCTGCAACCCTCCAACAAAAGCAGTTTCTTGGAGAAAAATTCAATTTGATTAAGAACTGAGAACATTACCTTTTGTGTGTGCTTTACTGTCTGTAAAATGAAGATTCTTCAGTCAGGCTGCTGGAAAAGGGAATGCTGTTTCCCTCGATGCAGCTCTGAATTCAGGTTTTATTTCCTGCAGGTATTCAACTGTTCTCCACCACCTGCCTGAACATTTCTAATGGCTCTGCTCTCTGCATCCCCAGCTGATGGACAGCTTCATGGGAATTGTAACAGCAGTTTGACTCATTTTACCAGAACCCAGAACTGCTAACATATGGTAATCAGCCTTCTCATTCCAAGCAAGACAGCCCAAGAAGAGGTGGAGGTGGGATCAGAAAACAAACCCCAGAAACTAATTCTAAATTTGGAGCCTCAGATTTCTGCTCCAAGGCAGAATATAACAGTCCACAGCTGCGTTATTTTGCTCAAGTTGGTTACGACCATGAATACCTCCCTATTGGCTGAAAACAGGTGACAGAAAGGATAGTCTAGCAACCATCACCTGCATATCCCTATTCTTCATCCTAGACAGAGGCAAGGAGTCTAGTAAAATAAATTTTATGGCTGCTTTATACTCCCACAGTGGTGGCACGTAGGCTGTGTGCACTTAAGCGTGTAGCAGGCAGAAGAAGACTGAATTCTGTCTCAGAGAGTGATTTTGATCCCATTACGGCTTCTGTAATGTTCTGAGAGAGTAATAAAACAACACATCAAGCACCGCATAAAAACCTATCCCAGGTGACTTCTTCTGCCCTTTGCACTAAAGAAATATAGCTTTGTCATGCTTTGAGTTGAACTTGTTTGGTAGATGTTAGTGTTTGTTTTTTGTTTTTTTAACGAGACTTCTGCTATCATCACGTACTTTCAGTAGCTATTTCTGAAAACTGTTTGGGGTTTACCAGGATAAAAAAATAATCAGCCTTTGCCAACTTTTCCTACTGTTTCCATAAGCAAAATTTAAGTTATCTGTGAAGCTTCTCTTTTAGATGGGAATTGGATGTTTATTTCCATAACAAGAATTAAGAAACTGTAGAATCATTAAAACTGGAAAAGAGCTCCAAGATCATCGAGTCCAACCATTAATGCAGCACTGCTGTGTTCACCATGATGTCCCCAAATACCACATCCACATGTCCCTTGAACACTTGCAGGGATGGCAATTCTGGGATATCTCTGCCAAATGGCAGAGACCTTATATCTTCATCTACTACTTGTACTTTTTACCACTATGACAAAAATGCATTAAAAAAAAAAAAATTACTAAGATAACAATGGTTTATGCATTTCTTCCTTGCTCACATGCCATTTAAAATTCTAAAACAAACAAACAAACAATCCCCCCCTCACCCCAAAATTCTTTCTGATGCTTAAACCTCAGTCAATGACATGATTTCAGTAAGGTAGAAGCAAGACTCACCTGCCCAAGAGACTATCCCATGAAAAAACTGGCTGTATTTTACCTAAAACATTACTTTTGTAAACATATGAAGGCTGCTTCTCCTTTTCAAATGCCTGTTCAAAGAAAGTGGAAGAAGTATTAAAAACCCACCTGGACTTAAAACAGATTGACAGGATGCCAGCAGCTTTTCTATAGCTCTTCTTCCACTGCTTCTTCATCAAGCTTGGTTTTGGAACAAACTTCATCCAGGAGAAAGGCATTTGTGCCAGCCTCCATCGTGGCAAACAAAAGGCTGCAGCATCAAATGAAGGCTTAGAGTTGTCTTTCAAATTTACTACGTGTTTGTGTCTGGTTCGAAGTAGTGTTAAGAGAGAAACATTCAAATTATGATTGTTTCCTCCCTATCAGCAACTTTTGAAAAACCAGAACAGTAATTTCTCATGCTCTATGCAGTTTTTAGAGAGCTAGGTCAGGAAGGAGAGGTAATGCTGTATTGCACCATTCAAACACACAAGTAAAACCCCATTAACTCACCCCTCCTCCTTAGGATCTGGAAGAGTCCAAGGCCAGCCTAGAAATTAGGCTTTCCAGTCAGTGCACTATGCTACAGCTCTGCCAGCACAGGGGACCAGTACAGTGGATAAATCATTTACTGCATGCCTCTGGAAACCACAGGAAAAAAAAACAAAAAGGGAAGAAAAAAGGAAGAAAAAAGAAAAAATACATAAATAAAAATATAAGCCATTTCATGAAATTACAGTGTTAATGCCTCTGTCTACCAATGTGCCTAGATGTCATCACCTATACAACCTGTTCTTGTTCATTGGTGGTTCAAGGAGTACTTCTTACTTCTTCCTCAAAAAAGACCAAATTAACCTTCCTTCCAGGAATAAAGAGCCCTATTTTCATTCAAGGATAGAACGATTATTTGAATAAAGGGCATGAAAAGAAGTACCATTTGATTTATACCATAGGAAGGTTCAGATTCTGGAAAGCTTTAGACAAATATGAGGTAACAATTCCCAATTTCTCCTTTGCCAAGCTCTTGCTTGCCCTTGCTGCTAGCTCCTCTCAATTCATGGCCAGCCAGGTTCAGCACTGACCACCACCACTACTCATAGAATCAACTGTAGGAGAGAACAGAACAAGGATAATAGATTACATTGTCCTTTGCCCCAAAATAAAGTTAATTAAGAGTACATCCCACACAGATAACACAGCACTGAATAAGGTTGTCTGAAGGAGACGAATGTCCAAATTACTTGTTTGCCATTGCACGCACTGAGACCTTCATGAAAACCAACCTGCAAAAAAAAACTAACCAGAAAGCATATGTGTATTCCATAACAGCAGAACTGTAGAAAAATTTAGCCTTCCCTTTAATATCTCCTTTCCCTGCACTGATATCCCTCAATAACAAGGCAAGTAAGAAAATCAGTTCTATTCCTCTGTGGATTTACAAGGAATCAAGCACTTCATTGAAGAGGATGGAAAGAAAATAGGAGGGGAAAATTTAGCTGTCAAATGTAAACATATAAACTCAGGTATATAATTAAAAAATACAGAAGAAAACCAAGAAATAACTACAAAGGACATTTTAATAAACCAGGATTTAAGTAATCTCTCTATTCACTGACCAACTCAATTTTAAAACTATCCAAGTATGTCAAACCTTGCTTGCTTTGATTTTGACAGCAAAGTTATCTGATGAAAGTAGTGCAATGATACTAAAAAAGATTTCTTACATTCAATGCAGTAACTGCTTAACATCATAAAACCAGCCTTTCTAAAAACTCTCTTCCCTTCTTACTTTTTTACTGTTGACTTGACCATTTATACTAGATTTCCAAACTCAGCTTAGACAGTTCTTACATTTCTAGTACGAAAACCACCATAACGACTCTGAAAAATGCTTCATACCTTCTTCACACATAGTCATGGTAACCGAAGAAAAATGGTGATTTTGCCCCCTCAGGCGGTCCACATGCAGCTACTAATTACAGAAATGTGAGCTCTGTTGGGGTCCTCGCCTGACACCCCACCTCAAGCCTTGCATAGTGTTCAGGACTTCAAACAAACTTCTACTGATGATGTTGAAAGTAGTTCTTCCGTTGACTTTAGCTGGGAACAAATTGGTTTTTTATTGAGCAGGCTAACTGTGGAGTATCTTCACCCTCTACAATTTCTCAGTTTTATCAGCTACTACAGGAGTAAGAAACTAATTGAAATAAAACACTTTCCTTGAGTTAAGGAAAAAAAAGAAAAACAGGAAGAAAGCCTTGTTGACCTCCATATGTTTATTTTTTTAAACAATTTACAAATAAAAACGTTGTATTTATCCAAGCAAATACATTTAATACTTTAGTCTTTAACAAGCTATACAAATGAGAACCATCACACTAGAGCTTTTGATAGCTCAAGGACCATTCAGGGTAGGCATGCATGTGTCTGTATCACATGAAGCGAGTCCAATTCCTGATACCAGGGTTCTGATCTTCTACTTCTTCAGAGCTGGTCAGCTGCTAAATGATTTAACACAAACAGTTACTGGATCACAATAGAACGAAAGAAAGCCCATTTCAAATCATGTAAGTGACCTCAATATGTCTGGTCCAGGTGTCAGGCCACAGAGCCTTACCGATTAAGTCTTCTTCTCCAAAAGCCAGTCGGACAGATTTTCTCCCCTTGCTTAGTGAAGTGGCATCCACACATGTGCTTATACAATACAATGAAACAGCTTAAGTACAGATGTAATACAACAGTAATTACAATTCACAGAGACAGATAAACAAACAACAAAATCAACTAATCACATTCTTGCATTTTAAACAACAGAGTAAACAAACCCAGACATTACAGTTCAAAGAAATTTTCAGTTTTAGCTCTTCTGCAAATCTCCATTTCCTCAAGTTCTAAACTGCTGTTCTTGAGCTTGTCCCAGCAGCTGGGCTACTCATGATGCTACTGACACAAACAGGGTGAGCTGGAAATCATCCAGGAACGGTCAAAGAATAAAAGCTCCCAAAATAAAGAACAAAGACGCACGCATTATAAATGAGATTCCATTTTAATAGCAGAGTGTAGAAAAGAAACTGGCAAAAAAATTCACATGAAAAAACATTTTACATAATTAGTTATGTACAGAATAAAGTATGTTCTGCCCTCTGATGATCTAAATTTCACTTTAGCCAAATCCTACCACAGAATGCAAAATACATCCAAAACTCTCAACTGGAACAAAAAAAAAAACCAAACAAAAAACATATACATAATCCCAGCTCTGGTTCCTCAAATATTGGGACTAGCTGGGTTTACTTCAACCCACTGGGCTTTCTGCTACACTTTCAGCAATTCCTGAATGTGTTGTAGCTTCCAAACTACAGTCAGCAGCTTCTGATTGCTCAGTCTTCTTGCTCTGGATGGTGCATACTCCCTTGCCTCCTGAGCCACCCACCTTTCCATGTGTTTCTTTGAGCCCAGGAATGAAAGTTTCCATGTACCCAGAAGACTGACTTTCTGTGCTGCCTCCATCACAACTCAGTGATGGCATTTCAACGGTGCCAGCTTTGCTCTCCTCCACTTGCAGAGGTATCTCAGATGTGGGAGAAATGCCCTGCATTTCTAGAACTGGCATGACCACCTCTGTAGTGTCACTATTTGAGGTCTGTGATCCAGGCTGCAGCATAGCTTTTTGAGAAATCTGTGTGCAAAATTTATCTTCCCGACTGTCAGAAGTCAACGTAGCAAAATCGGTAATCTCTGTTTCATTCACTGTTTCTTCAATGCCCAGTTTTTTATGTCTACTGGACTCCAGCCTAACAGATGCAACAGTTTCTAGTTTTGTAACTTCCTCTGTAGTCTCATTTAAAAGTCCTGCTGTAAGGATGCTGAAGCATTCCTCTTTTACCTTATTGTCTCCCAAACTGAAATCAGTGCTTTTGAGCTCAAGTTCTGCTTTCTGTGAGGGAGTTTTAATCTGTTTCACATCTTCTGACGATCTCTTGATAAAAAAATTATCTGATTTTGCATCAGATCCAGTGGGTTCTGATGACTTTTTTTCATTTTCAGCTACTAATTCTAGATTGGATCTGAGGTGAACAATGTTTGAGCAGGTATTGACTAAACATTCAACTTCCTGCCTCTGGGTTTGCAATTCTGAAGCACTAACCTCATTAGAACCAGACTTTATCTCTGCATTTGGAGTATCTGATAGATCCCCACCACTCCTAGAACAAGATTGAGTTGTGATAACCTGTTCTTTTCCATTACTAGTTCTGGAAGCATCCCAGAGCAAGTTTGGACTATCAGATTCTGAGCGAGTTTTACAGTTATCATTTAACTTTTCTTCTACCAAATGAGAATTCCCCAAATTTTGAATTTCATTCTGTGTTTCAGGCAACAAAGTCTTTGGCTGTAAGCTATGCTTAGGCTTTACTGCTTTTACCTCCCAGTCTTTTGTCTTTGCATCTTTCTCCAAGGTACCAGGAACATCTGTGTTTGTAACTGCAGTTTTATTTCCATCTTCCTGTCCAACTTTCTCTTGGACCTCAGTTTTCCGTGCATCACAGAATTCCTGACTGCCTGCCTGCTCTCCACCTCCTGTATCAACAAGTCCAATTTCTACAGGCATCTGGATACCAGAAACAGTTTTTATTTCTGGCAATTCTGTGACAGATATTTCTGACAGGTGAGGCTGAAGTGGTTTCTTGTTCATTTCAGCCTGATTCTCACCGGGAATCAAACTCCCTGTTCCTTGATTATTACACTGTGAGAAATCCACATTCTGAGAATCCTCTTTCAAGGAGGATGAGCTACTGTTTGTTCTAGGGTTTGCAGATAAGTCTGCAGATTTTGTTAGGTTAGGGTGTTCTCCATTTGGAAGTGCAGAACTTGCAAGCTTACTGTCAGCCGAACCCTTCCCACCACTACTGTAGAAAATATCATAGAGATCTTTAGCATTGGCTGTGGCCAAGCAAGAATTTCGTTTTTCTATCTTTTTTGCCTGCTCACTGAAAGCAGTTGAAGGTGGTGGTGGTCTCACAGGCATTGCCAGCATTGTCTGTTCACTTTCAGACACACCTGGAGCTACTTCATCTGCAGGGATGAGAGCTGCCTGCTGGACTGCTGCTGGAGGAGGGCGTGGAGGTAGTCTGTCTGAAGTCTGAGAAGACTCAGTTTTTTCTGCTGCTTTCAAATCCTCCTCTGTCCCTTTTAAAATTACTTCTTCTCCTCCAAAAGCTTTTGAGATGATATCCGGAGGCAGCAGAAGATCTGCATTCGTTTCTTTTACCACTGGCAGTGGTTTAGTGGTAGCTCCAGAGGATTTTATAGATAAAAAGGTGTTCAAAGGTGCTGGTTTACTAACTGTTGCAGTATTAGACTTCCTGAAAATCATGGTGGGGACTGGTAGATTGGGTAGAACTTTTGCTGGTGTTGGTGTGGAAACAACTGGTATCCATGGGCTAGTGTGTGGAATAACAGTTTTCCCAGACAGCTTGATTTCAATGGGCTTGATATGGGATTTCACAGACTGACACTTGTTCTCCTCTTTGTTTCCTTCTGTATTCTCCTCCTTTGGAATAGTTCCTCCTGGAGTTTTATCCTCTCTCTCAGTCTTCTTCCAGCTGAATTTCCCAAAGGAAGTCTGGCTTGGTGATTCCTTTTTAGATTCCTCTTTCTTTTCTTCTTTTTTCTCCTCTGTCTTCTCTTCCTTCTTTAGCTTAACCATGATACCCATTTTTCGCCCAGAAGAGTCTATTTTGCCTTGAGTTTCATTATTCCCTTCTCCAGACTCTGGGTTGCTCTTTACTTCCTCTTTCTTTATTATTTTTGGGTTTTTCTCATCCTTCTCTTCTTTCTGTTTCTCAACTAGTTTCCGCTTCAGCTCATTTTGCCGTCTGCGCTCTGTTTCCAGAACTACAGCCAACCCAGCTTGACGGTCTAGATTTCTCCTCTCTTCATAGAGCGGGTTTTCATCTATGTATTTCTGTGGAAATAAACAGCACAATTTTAGCCACTGTTTTCATGAAAAATAAATAAATAAATTAAGCTCTGACAGTTTTGACTCATTCAGTGAGTGCTAAGACACGAGAGACTTCTTCCTATCAAGAAACTGAGGTGCTACAAACTCCACATTCCGTGCTTGCAACAGAGCTGTCACTCTACAGAAGACACTGTTTCAGCCTCAGGCAGATAAAAGATTAGTCTCTGTGTAGTAATGTAGTGAGAAGCTCTGTTTATTTAGTTTAGTAGAATGTAGTGAAGATAACCAAATACATATACTCCAAGGAGTTAAATGTCATTCTTCAGGAAAGGAAGATGGAACAAGCAGAAGCTACCATAGGGAATGTCTTGCTCCTGGCACACCAGTTACCAACCTTGTATTTCTCATTGTGGGGATGACTTTTCACATGCTGCTCTGCTGAGATTTGATCTCCAAAAAATTCATGACAGAGCTGGCAATAATATCCAGTGATGGGAATCAGAAACTCAGAGCCTGAAAAGGCCAAAGAAAATTGTCAGAGAAACAAAACTTCATAAATGCCAAGCTCTTAACAAAGTCAGATAAATATATCAAAGAACAACAGCAAAATCTCCAGCAATGTTCTTTTTGGAACAGTTAATGCTGCTCTCCTGGACAGTTACAGTATAGGAACCACCACTACCAGGAACAAACATCTAAAGTGAAGAAGTTGCACTACTATAGTTCAAGAATATTTAAGTGCTCTCCATCCACATTAAGGATGTTCAAGTAGGTTAACATTTCTTACAGTCTTAATCTATTTTCCATCTTTGTGGTATAGTCTGCTCAAACACTAAACACCTGGTTTATAAAAAGAAAACGAGTTTTTCTTTGAAATTCAGCAAGACTGCACCCTTATGCCTACAGAAGCAGCTACAGATTCATCTTTAGCGGGCACTACAAGTACTCAAGAGATAATTAAAATGAGATTGATCACTGGCAGGCCTATTTAGACACTCAGATTTCAAATCTTGCATTAATTTTGAAACCCCTTACAGCTCCTTCCATATGGCTTTCTCAGATTCTCTGCACCCACACTATACCAAGTACTCATCAGTCGTTTTTCAGGGCAACCTCTGCTAAAAGTGTACTGAACAGAAGAGTCTATTGCAAGACTATGTGGAGTACTGTGTGAGATCTGCCCAAACACAGCAAACTCTTGTGATCATGCTCTGAAATCTAATATGTTAGCAAGAATCACTTCAGAACTACACTGGAGACTGAAAAAGTCACCTGGTATGCAAAATAAAAAACTAAATTCTAAAAAGAAGAGAAGGAACCACACTATATTTTCCTACACTCCTTCTTCATGATCTTTTCCACAAGAACAACCAGGAAATTAATTCATGTGCCTTTTATCTAATAAGACAGTATCTATATGTGCTCCTATGCCAAGGTAAAATCCCTTTCTCTGAGCAACTGGAACGTGTTGGAGGGCAAAGAGGGATGATACCCAAGTTAATAAAAACTAACATACCTTTGGCAGGAACCGTTATCTTATCGATGCGTTTTATGGAGTCTTGTTTGGTCTCACTCTGGGTCTTCGAAGCCCAAGGTCTGTTGTAAGGATCCAGGGTCTATTTGCACAGTGACAGAGGTATATAGGCTCATGTATTACACTAGCAAGGCAAGTACACTTGTCTTTTTCCTTTTTAACATCCTTTTAGAACACTGAACATTAAAATCAATGTGTATATATTTACAGGAATTAGTTTTCCTCTCTTTCCCCTCCCATTTTGCAAGTTTACAATGACAAAATAACCTGTGAAAAGGGTACAATGTAAATGATCGCAAAGAACAGGTAAACATAAGAAACACAAGTGGCAAACCCGAGAAAACTGAACACAGGCCCCATTTACACTAGTTGGAACACACTGGTAGCTGTACAACTGCTCAAGTCCAAAATTAGGGGAAAAGAATTTGATAAGCAACTTCTTGGGTTCTTTATAACTACTTCAGGTTCTCTTGTAAAATGTAGCTCTGTGATGTATGTTTTAGTGTTAATATTTATAGCAACATGAAATGCACTTAGTGAAGGAAGCCTGCAACATACCTGTCTGTGTTTCTTATTATGCATGTGTGTGAAAAAGTCAAACATGGTCCCGCAGATGGTATTGCAGTCTTTGCACCAGTGGTTCCCTGCATCATAATATTCATAAATATTGGCCAACTGGAAAGGATGTTTGGAGGACTGTGAAGAGGATTCTGCTGGCTTCGGGCTTCTACCTCTGGGTTTTTCATTAGTAGTTTTTGATTCCTAAATTGAACAAAAGGAAACACTTCTCTAAGACAAGGCAGGACAGACATAATGCTCTAGAATTCAGAACCTGCCTCCAGCAGAAGCCACACACACACACACAAAAAAATGTATCACCTGCTTTTCAGCGCTCAGGTTAATTCCACTGTTTCAGAGAGCTGGTATTGTCGATTAAGATGCTGCGTGGCTGCAGTGAAGAGTTTCCAATAAGGCTCCCAGATGTAATGCTGGATGGTTGTAGATAACCAAGGAACCAATGAACAAATTCCCTATGGCATGCACCCTTCCCATTTTATTGGTTTCACGTAACGATCTGAATAATTCCAATTTACTGCACTAGCCAAAGAGTGCCCAGAAGTTCTAAAATAGTTCACTTAAAAGGATTCAGAAGTTACTGTAAAAGTAGCTTGGATGAAAGCAGAATGGAAAAGGAAGTAAAAATTAGTTGACTGAAAGTATTTAACTCAATCAGCTTTATTGGATTATTTGAGTGTTCCTGAATTCTCCAGAAGACTGGTTGCTTAGTAATAATAGAAGGATGGTGTTTTATTAATTACCTAAGCAAAATAAGGTGAAGGATCTTATGATTTAAACATGTGATGTTTGCACTTACATTGATCTGTACAGATACACAGACATTTCAGGACTCTACCCAAAATTAATACTAAACTAACACTTGTAAGAAAACCAGCATTCCCTGAAATTGATCATGAATGAGCCCTGATAATTATGATTATGATAGTACTAGTTGTATTTTGAGTTTTGAGTTATATTTTCAATGGCTGAAAGCCCATCATGTTATGATTTTTAACCTGTAAGGCAGTCTGGAAAGAACAGTATGTTAACTTAGCAGATTTGAGTTGGTTGCATGATTTCCACGTTATTCACTATCAGTGTTGAACAAATTTACTTAAGCAAATTCAAAATCGTTAAATAACATCTGCCTTACTTGAAATTCCTTACCACCACCCCACACAATATACATTGTAAATCAAGAAATGAAGAGACACCCAGGCCACTATGCACCCCACAGATATCCCAAAACAATCTAGTTCTTGGAAGCAGAGTACCAAGTGACCCAGTGAATATTTGCATGTGTTCTGTCTACCAGAACACTTAAAGCTGACATTCTCTTAAACAGTGAGATCAACTTATGATCTACAGGAAGTGCATGGAAAGTTGTTTATGATGTCTGAGAAGCATCAATGTTAATGTTATTTACAGACATACACCCACCCAATATATCCTATAAAAATATTATCTCAATCAGAACTTTAGAAAGACAATGCTTGTCACATGGATAGGTGACAGACAACTCTTAGCTCCAGTTCGTGCTTTACCCCTGCTCAAAGATGCTTTTATAATTTCCTGCTGTCTAAAGCCCAGACAGGGTGATCTGTTTGTTTAGCACAGTAACACCATCTTCACTTCTGCACTATGGAACTGTACAACACACAGACACAGGTTCAGCAGCAAGGGACCACAAGGTACCTTGCAGATAAGCAGAAAGGCAGATGCCCTTAGGTTGGCAGAGTCAACCGATCTCAGTGTCAACAGGCCTGCACGACCTTTCTTTTCATGAAAAAAAGTTAACAATCAGAACTACAAGGTGAATATTAGAGGCTAAAGGCAGCGCCCCATGTGCCTACATATGTCCAAAAATATTAAATAATCCTGTGCAGAACTCAAAATTTTCTACATTAAAATAAGGAACTATGAAAAGGACATCATTATGGGTTTGGACGATACAAACAATGCAAGTGAAAATAATGGAAAGTATATTCACACATGCCATATCCCTAGAAAAGAAAGCTATATAACTTAATGCAATGTAGGACATAACAGATGTTGTTGCCTACTTTAGTTTTACAAAGTGGTGACTGAAGCAAATGATTTTCCAAAAGTAAGTGGACAGTAAACTTCAGTGATATTTCGAGAAACAGCAAAATCAAAACCAAAAGCAAGTCTTTAAATGGAAGATATCTAGTTAGAGTTCTCTGAACCAGACCATGATAAATCATAAGGAAAAGTTTACAGGATACATAGATTTGAGTGACCTTGCAGGAAATAACAGAATCACAAAATGGGTCGGGTTGGAAGGGAACACAGCGGGTCACCTGGTCCAACCTCCATACTCCAGCAGGGTCATCCTGGAATACGTGGCACAGGATTGCATCCAGTTCTAAGTATCTCCTGTGAGGGAGACTTCACAATCTCTCTGGACAATCTGTTCCAGTGCTCAGTCACCTGCACAGTAAAGAAGTTCCTCCTCATGTTCAGGTGGAACTTCCTGGGCATTAGTTTCAGCATATTGCTTTTTGTCCTATTGCTTGGCACTGCGGAACATAGCCTGGCTCCAGCCTCTTGGCACCCTCCCTTTGGATACTTCTAGACATTGAAGAGGGCACAATCGTTCTTATGCATCTTACCCTACTAACATTTTCCTCTCTGCAAAAAATATATCCAGTAGGGTCAACACAAAATGCACCTACAATCTCCCACCAGCTATTTCTGTTACGTATTTGAATAAACATCTGAAAAGCAGGATAAATAATTTTCTGAATATGTGCATAACCTTTCAGATGCTGGTATCATACACTACTTCCAAAGTAAAAGCTATCTTCTGGAATGCAGTACACCTGTTTTGGTACATCCAGCCCTCAGTAGTACAGACTGTGTAAGAGAGACCATACTCATGCATACTGACATTTCTTAAGAGAGAACACGTAGCACATACAAAATGATCATGTTAAGCTGACAGTCATATGTGAGTCTTGAGATTTGTTACTATCATTACCCAGTGAGAAGATCAACATGCTCCAAACTTGCAGAGAGCTTTGCTGCTACAAACACTCATCCTTGAAAGGCCATGCCAGAAATGTTGTACAGAAAACATCTGTCCTCCTGGTATGGCAATGAAACCAAACAGCTACAAACACTCGTGATACTGTTCAATCCAACCAATGCTTCAGCAAAACCAAGATCAAAACCAGTAAGTGATATTAAACTGCACAAACCCCCGAGGGAAATTATAAACACTGATACATTGACTCTCATCTGCATCACCATCAAAACCAGTGTATGAGATGTGGTAACAAATGACATCAAATGATCCTCTAGTAAATGTTTGGGACCAGGTGTCTCCCCAGTGCCCTCTTCTCTTAGTGGGAAAATCATTAGCACACAAGCCATAAGACTTTACCTTGTTGGAGGAAGATGTTTTCTCCACACCTTTTGCATTTTCTGACTTGCTGTTCTTTTCTGAAGAATCTTTAGTTTCCACAGATGGTTTCCGGGGTTTTTCAAATATGTTAATCCCCAGGATTTGTGCTACTTTGTCAAGCTCAGACTGCTTCTTGTCAGCTGCATCAGATTCTTTATGCAGCTCTGCAATCTCCTTCATAATATTCTCCTGTAGTCTGTTCACCTCAATCAACAAGGGGTCTTTGTGTCCGTCCTTCTCACGACGTTTTTTCCTCAACATCTCTCCTGAGCCAGTCAAGGAAGTTGAAGAGTCAGAAATGCAACAGAAAAATTGACTTAAGATCTGTACAATTCCAGCAACAAGTAAAATACTGATATAACATAGTGCAGTTAAATCTTGACTATAAAGTTGTAAAGATGGAAGTGACTCTCAGGTACAGCATCACTAAATCTGCATGATCTGCCTTCTATAAGGACTGCTTTAATATAAACCCTAACAGAGGCACCATAATCCTCAAGAGTATCTATTTAATAATCACTATTTCCCTGGGTGACCAAACAAGTAGAAGTTAAATTTTATATTTTAACCTGAAAGTATCACTTTTCAAAGGTGAGGCAAATTAGTATTTACTTGAACCAAATAAGATCTAAAGACAAAAATGTAGTTCTGTCTAGAGAGGACTTTTCCATCTCCAGATAAGATTCATGAAAAATTGAAAGGCACAATGACATTTTATTTTTTATTTCTCATTTCTAATAAAGAAGCACTAAAATGCACAAAGTGCAATTAATTTAACTTAACAAGCTGCCAAAGGAGATGCAAGAGCAACTGTTTGCTTCAGTGTAACAGCCAAATTTTGACGCAATTAATTTTAATATAGTAATTAGGTCAGTGCTTTCTCAAGAGTTTTTCATTGCCAGGAGTATGAAAATACTGTTACAGACTATTATTATTTCAGTCTCCACTTCTCCTAGAAGGCACCAGAATTTGTGACACACGCCAATCAGGAAAAAAGATGCAGGGGCTGCAGGGCGGGTAATGCACTTTACCTTGCTGTTTACGAAGCCTGTCCAGTTCAGTCTTGAGATAGTAAAGCTTCTTCTGCCGTGCTTCTCGGTCATTCTTCAGTTTTTCTCTCTCTTCTATCACCTAAATAAATTGGAAGGGATGTTCTTCTCTTTCCAACACAAGTTAATCAGTCTTGCAAGAATGGCAGCAAGACCTCAGTTTGCCAGACACAGAACACTGCTCACCATTCTCAGAATATTCTAGAGAATTTTAACACAATGAATTCACCTCTTCATATGTATCTGAAGGTACCTATATAGTGTGGTCATGCTTCAGCCCTATACGTAGGTAGTTTTTTTTCCTTTGGGCAGTGTATTCCCCAAAACTGCTCTGTTTGTTGCACCGCTTCCCAAGGCAGAAGCTCAGCTGACTATCTTGTACAGGGCAAAGCAAGATCAGTGCTAGATGGCTCTTCAAAACTCGTGCAGTATCTCTACAGCTAGCATGCTCCATCAGCTTTCACAGCCCTTCACCTTGCCTCCTGCTTTGACTCTGGACAATTTTAGCTATTATTTAGGTTTCTGCTTCAATCTGATCATAACTGTCTGAAATGAAACACCAGGATGAACTTTGTTTCTTGCTCAATAAGGTAAACTGTGACATGAGGAGCTCACAAATCCATTTTTCACTGATTTTCATTGATTCTCACAGAAGGAAACAAAGTAATATGGCAAAATGAAGCCCGAAAAGTTCTTTCAATTCCTTTTTCAGCTTTATTTTTCAAGAGACAAATCCCAATTTTTACCTTCCCAATGCTCTTAAAATTGACTACTTACTCCTTCCTTGAACAAACAACGAGTGGCTCAAGGTTTTGACTTCCCTAGACAACCACTACTACTAATGGCAATGTAAATGGTGGCAGGATCCTTCCTGGAGTAAGCCCTGGAAGTAGTTCTACCAACACAGCTAGGCCACATCTTAAAATGCCGTAAGCTTTTGTGTGCTATTTTTTTTATTCCCAAAACACCATTTTCTCATAATGGGTTTTCTGCAGCGTGGGGACATCAACTGGAGCATGCAAGTTTTTATACTGCAAGCCACGCCAGCAAAAAAAAAGGTGCACTCAGCCCAAGTCAAAGATGTCTGGTAGTGCAGAAAAGTCCTAGAAGTTCTACCAAGACGTAGAGGTGAGTTACCAGGGTATGTCAGGGCAGGAGAAAACCACACACCTTTAGCCAACAGACTTCTGCCAAAAGTACCGGATTTCATTAAGTACAAAATTTCAGTCATGTCAGCTGAAGAAATTATTCCTGCAAGGAATAAAAGCTCACTTATTTGCTGATGTAGCACTTTGCTTAAGTGAAGAGAAGGCTCTGGGAAGAGCTTGGAAAAAAGATGAGGACAGATATTTCACCAAGGCATGTAGTGACAGGACAAGTGGCAACAGTTTTAAACTAAAACAGGGTAGATTAAACCTAGATAGATACAAGGAAGGATATCTTTAGAATGAGGGTGGTGAGGCACCAGAACAGGTTGCCCAGAGAGGCTGTGGACTCTCCATCCCTGCAAGTGTTCAAAACCAGATTGTATGGGGCTTTGAGCAACCTGACCTACTGGAAGGTGTCCATCCCACTGGTAGGGGGCTTGGAACTCAACGATCTTTTAAAGGTACCCTCTCACACAAATCATTCTATGCCCTTATTTTAACCACAAAGACTGAGTGGGCATCAGTTTGAAAATACAAACAACTTCTGGGAATCTTGCAGTTCTTTTACAGTTATGTAACTACAGTTTCCTACTTTAAAATACATTCTTCCCCACTACTCTCTAATTATTGTGCAAACCAAGGTAACTAGAAGATGAAAACATTAATACACATAACCTGAACTGGTGTCAGATGCTCCAAATAAAGAACAGTTTCCCTTAAGTTCTTCTCATTTTGCTATTTTTGTAAGAATTAATATAAATGTAGAGGGAAAATTGTATGACATGGTGAATTTAATGATATATTTTAGTATGTATTTAAGAATGTCTAATATAAATATAATCATGTTATGATATGCCATGTTCAGATGAAGCCTCCTGTGTTTCAGTTTATGCCTATTGCCTCTTGTCTTGACACTGGACATAAGTGAAAAAAGCCCAGTTTCATTTTCTTTCCACTGTCCCTTCAGGTATTTATATATCGCTAGATATCTTCAGGTATTTCAATAACTAAGGCTCAGTGGAATAAAGCCAAGCTGTGGCCATCATGTAATTTCTCTGCAAGATTTTGGCCGGTCCAAGAAACTTCAACTTTGTGTTTGATTTCATCTGTTCTGCCATAGCCCATGCCATACAACTTTGGGGGATTTAAAATGCATTTTTTAAATTGTCACAGATTAATACAGACAAATGCTTAGAAATCTTTAACAAAAGTAAATTTAGTCGAACTGTTTTTAAACTGGAGCCACTCACGAAAAAAAGAAAAGGTGTACCTGAAGAGGAAAAGCTTCCACCCCACCTATCATGCAGTGCAATACACTTTGATGTATTAGAGTATGTAGCATACCTTCTGCTTTTGAGCTGCCCGATTTTTTTCATCCGACATCCTTTCTGTGGTATTTTTGAGAGGGTGTGAAGACAGACGAAGGGGCGCTTTGGAATGAGAAGGAGTGGTAGGGACTTGAACGAGCACAGAACCATCTCTTTTTACATCAGGGACATCCTTTCCCAAGGACACTGTCTCAATCACCCGGAGATTGGGACGTGTGGGGTTCGCTGTCATGGCCATCGTAAGAAGGCCATGAGCTTCTGGCAGTGTAGGGTTAGGCTGCTGGGCAGGGGGGTACATGGGCCAGCCGGGAGCTGCATACGCCATATAATGCCCATATGCATCGTATCCTGGAGGAGCTATTGTGGGAGGTGGATAGTTTTGGGGCATTTGAGTGGGAGTGTAGTGGGAATAGCTGGGAATTTGGTATTGGGCAACAGAAGTAGGTGTAGGTGGCAAACTAGGAGGAGTTGGTGGAACTGAGGGAATGAGAGAGACAGAAGGAAGAGGCTGTTCTGGTGCACATGGAGGTATATCCTGTCCCACTGGCTTGTTCTTAGTATATTCTGATTTCTGAAGAGAGGATGCATCTTTGGACTGCTGAAAAGAGACCGGAGGCGACGCTGAACGCTGCTGGCCTGACTCGGGAGAACGAGTGTCACTCCGGCTGCGCCGCAAGTCCCAATGGTCCAGTCTGCGAGTGTCTGAAGAGCGACGATCTGGAGAACGAGATGCCAATTTTTTGCCATGAAGGCGTTCCTGGGTACGGACAGCCAGTTTTCCAATTTCAGCAACACCAATGTCAAGCCCAATGGTTTTGAGTAAGTCGTGGATCTTTGCATACTCTGCATTTGGCTCTTCTAAAGCATCCAGTTTGACAGCTGGAGCAGGAGAAGGAGGTGGGCTCGTTTTCTGGACTATTATCTCATTGCCACAACTCACTGGGGGCTTCTGAACAGGGAGAGATTCCATTTTGGTCTCCTCATCCTCATCACCATAAAGAAATTTCTCTTCATCCTCAATGTCAGGAAAGCTACGCCTCCTCTTCTCCTGAGCACTTACAGAATCAGCCATCATGCCCAGAATTCGGGAGAAACCACTGCCATCCTGACTGGCCCTCTCATGAGGTAGCAGGAAGTCAGTATGGCGATCAGCGGGCTCTGACTTGGCTTCTACCTTTTCTTTGTGACTTAAGAAGCTCCCAAACTTTTCTTCAAACGTGAAAGTGTCTTTGGGAGGCCCAGAAAGTGGGCTCCACTCATATAAATCTTCACGCAACTCCTTGTTTGCAGACTCCACAAGAGAGTCTTTGTTAAACCGTTTGAGAAAGTTCTCCACTTCAGAGGCAAAAGGAGCCACGTTGTTGCTCTGGGGCAGAGATGACTGACTGGAAAGAAGAGGAAGATCCTTGCTGGGAGCCGGACTGCTTGAAAAGCTCTCAGGCTGAAAGAGAGAAGGTACTATTTACTACAAGGCCTTCTGAGGCGACTGTGCACTGTTAATTCCTCGAGTTCAAGTTGAATAAAAGAGTTAGAAAAGACAATATACAGTTCAAAGAGAACACAAACAGAAGATTACAAAACAAGTTGCCTGATGATTCTGTAAGGACATGGCCAGCAATGAATGCTTATCTCAGAGAATACACAAAATCACTATTTAATTTCACAAATTTTTTGCAATCAAAAAACTTTTACCTTTTAAATTGAAATCCTGCAACATAGTTTTGGATATGCTTTGAGTTTAGTCACAGTGAAACAGGCTTTCAACACCTTAAAACAGTTAAAAACAACTGCACTAGGGTTATTCCCAGTCTTCTTCAAATATTCACAATTAAAGGCATGTGAATAGCATTTCCAATAATAGGTATGGAATGGGATCATCAGAATTGGAACACTCCTGAGATGAACATGTCACTGTCAAACCAGCACTGATCAGCACAACAGGCAAATCAAAATGACACAAGAAAAGTCAATTTCTAACAGTGGTCACAGTCACGTGTCTTTCCAATGTTCTAACTTTGAGACAACTGGTTTTGGTTGGGTACAAATTAAGTAGGACTGACCCCAGCTCTACAGTCCAAAGGGGAAAAAAAAGGAAACTCCAAAGATGTTTTCAGACAGAGGTACTGGGGATGCATTAGGCAGTTCTCTAAGTCTATAAGGAAACAAGAAGGAGAGACTGTGACAGACAAAGAGCTTTGATCAATGTCCTGACTGCCTGTGTTACTAGGAGTGTCAGCTTTTCTATAAAAGCTAACCCAGATCTCAGCATCCTGGGCTGGATTCCCACAAAGACATTTTATTCTGTCTCAGGTTATATATATATATATATATATATATGATTCTTGATTACATGCCTTCACCATTAGAGTTTCTAATGCAATTCTAACTTGTGTAGGTCTGCAAAAAGACACCTGTCCTCTTAAAGACAGGAAAATGTAAAGATTTGGTCTTTCTGTTTTGGAAATCAAACTAATATTCTGTATCATAAAGTAATAGTTCTGGAAAGTAGAAACATACAGACAGACTGACAGAGACCAAACCTGAATAGGAGACTCTACTTCCATCTCCACTCGTTTCTTCAAAATAGATTTTTTGGGCATGGGTGGGATTTCTTCAGGCCTGTATGTATACCGAGGCTCAGAAGTCTGTAGTGTGTTAGTCAAGCCAGGGATCGCATAGCCACTGCCTGAAACATCATGATTCACATTTCTGCTACGCTCTTCTTCTTCTCTTTTCCTCCTTGCACGGTCAAGCTCTCGGAATTCTTCATTCAGGTACGATGGGCTCAGGCTCCTACTACGGCTGCGGCTTCGTCTGCGGTAGTTCCGTGTTCCTGATGAGAAACCCTGATGCTCTCCGCTCACACCATGCATCTTCTCATCCTTTTCATACCGCGGACGCTTTATTTCTCGTCCCCTCTCTTCCGGCCTCAGTGGGTAAGGGGATCTCCTCAGTTTGTCACCATCTCTGTCAGATCCACGAGGCAGCTCTTCTCGCCGGCCATAATGTGGACTGTAATCTGAGCGGTGGAGGAAAACATCTCGGCTGCGGTAGTCCTCATCGTGCCTCACAGGGAAGGGACTCGAGGGTTGATCTTCATGTGATGGGTATCTCTCAAGGCCTCGAGGACATGTGAGGCCTCTAGTGAATATTGGACCATCAGCCATATCATCCCTGTGTAAGATAAGCACAGAATAAACAAAAGGACTTGAATCAGAGTAAATTAAGCCTTACTCCTACTCAAGGGTAAGAAATTTCCAAATTGGTTTCAGAATAACATCTCCATCACTAAACAGAATCAACACTCTATGTATGTAAAAGGCAGGGTAGAGAGAGAGGGAGACTTATTTTTAACAGTACTGTTCACCTGCAAACACAGTGACATGAACAATTCAACTGCAGGATAAGAGCGAGCCTTGAAAAACTGACAGAATGGATTTATTTCTGTGAATGTGAAAGACTACACGTTTTAAAAAAACTTACTATCATATTTCAGACCACAATCCCTCTCTTCCCTTCTCCCGGCAAGATGCCAAGGTCAAATTTCATGTGAATTATTCAAGATATAATTCAGTTTCACATTGGCAAGTGCAGCCAGATCCTTCTTTTATCTTCAGCTGTGGACAAGGACTACAAATTCTAGCTACATTTTCTCTTGCAACAGATCTGTAGACAGGATTGTCACTAACCACATTAATGGCTATACCCAAAAAGACGCACAGTTTCTGATATCTATGAACAAGGGAGAATAAGTGTTACAGTATCATTCATTTGTGCCAGCCCCTGCATTATTACACACAATGGACATGCAACTGGCACGACATCAGAGTAACCAGCTTCTTCTCTGGGAGTATTTTCTTTTGGACCAATTCCTACACACATCTCCAATTAGGCGTACTGTTTTAAGTAAAGCCTTTTTCTCCACCCCTAAAAACTTCGCTGGGACTCTTCTTTTAGATAAGGCAGAAATAAACCAAACCACTTTACATTTACCAGCTGCTGGCTAATTTTATTCATTCATATTTCAAAATCTAGCAAGATCCTCCAAGAATGTGAAGAAAATGTGCTTCTTAAGTGAAAACAATGGGACAGAAGCAGCTTCCCTGAGTGATCAACATATAAACTCCAGACAAACTATGTACTATGGCCTGAATCCTCAAAAGTCACCTCCTCCTACTCAGAAAGGTCCCCCCATATATCTGAGAAGCACAAATCCAGTCATGCCAGAAGATACCTTCAAAAAAATATGCAGATAAATTACAGCCACAGTTTTTAAAATCAGACTAAGGAATAACAGACATGCACAGACAAGGTTTTTTTCTTCAGTATTTTTATAGTTTACACACGCATATTTAAGAACAAAATTAACACAAAATATCACTTCATCTCTAACCTGCATCACTGCAAAGCATTCATTAGATACTTTATCAGTTCAACACATCTTATAAAGCAAAACTGGCATACACCTGTACCTGTATGCCAAAACTGGCATACACCATATTAACAGTATCTTTCCAATTTCCAGCAAACTACCCGTATTTCCCTCTTTCAAAAGCACAAAAGAGATCTAAAAAGTAGCTAAAATTAGATTTCATACATAAATAATGTTGTTTACAACCTATATAAAGGTATGTCTATTTCCAGTGTCACCTTCTCTGAGAGCCTGCTAAACCTGTACAAGCTGCATGAACAAACCTGGTGGAGTAGCAGATGTATTTCACCATACACCTTTGCCTGATTTTTGTGCCAATAAAATGATTTGAATGCATGCCTGGCAACTGTCACCTACAATTCAAATACTCTGACTGCAGTGACAAAGCAGAGGGAGTATTTAATCATACTTTGGAAAGAAAGGAACAGCAAACCTACTATATTTACAACTAGAAAGATGTTCCAAATATGCTCTGAACAGCTAAGATGCAAGTTAAACCCCAAGTATTAAATACAGGTGTGAGAAAAAGGATTACTTGCCTTACATGAACTATGGTATGTCACGTAATTGGTTTGGATACTTTCAGCCAGCAATGTCCACTACTGGCTATTGCATCCTTGAGACAGGATACAAGGTGGTACCACTGTGACCATCCTAATTCCTTCACCAACACAAAATCCATAAATTACTGGAATTTGCAGTCTCAGAGAAGGTAAACAGACAATAGGCTACATAGACATGATGCCTCAGAGAACTACAACTAGTGTAAGGTAATTTATTTTCTGGCATATTTATTCACAGAAACAGAAATAAATAATGGTATTTTGCCATCAGCAACCAACAGGACTCCCCTTTAACACAGTCTTTAAAGAGGAAATCAGATGAGCTGCTCACACTCAAGCCAACTGCTACTTCTGACATTATGCCCAAAAAATGCTATTTAAGAACACAGCTTAATGCAGACCAAGTGTCTGCAGGCATATGGTCTATCTTTTGTATTAACCTCAGGTGAAAGAATTAGTGGGGTGTTCTGTGTAGCTTATGCCAGCTCAGGTAGTAGTAGAATGTCTTAAAAATACTGAGAGTGGAAGAAGAGGGAGACAGGGAGAGGGATAAGATTTACTCTTCGTTTTGATAAACTGAGATTCTGGAAGACAAAAAAATACTAATCTGTTGAAGTAGAAGACTGAAGCTGCTCAGATGACCTTGAAGACACAGGCCAGCAGCATTCAGGATGCCTACACAGACATGTGCAGGCCAGCTGCCCTAGAAACTTGGGGCAAGTTCTAACAGATGTTCTAGGATGAACCTGTATGTGAATACACTCTGAGAAAGTTACCTCAGGCATCCTGAAAATCCACTGCTGCAATAGACTCTAAAATCATCCCTGATTTCCATCCTTTGTATTTTATTTCTTTTATAGGCTAATGAACTTCTCTACCATCTCAAGGCCCTACAACTTAGGGAGAATAATTTGTCAAAGTGATTGCCTGAAATCTCTAAGTAGAGAAGTTAGCAAAAATAGCTGAGAATAACTAAATTCAGAATTATTTGCTCCAATTACTTCAAAATTTGAAGAGACATCTTCAGAAAACACTCTATTTTTTCTTTTCTTTTTTTTTTTAATTAGAATGAGAACATCTCACATGGCAAATAAGAATGTGATATGACTAGGATTAAATCCAATGATGATTCACAATAAGGACCACTTTAAAACCAGTGACAGATATAAAGTCAGTGTCCCGGCACCAGGGCAGCCTCTCAGAGGGGGAAAAAATATATGCTGAAAAATACTTGATAAACAATGTATACTTAACCCAATACCAAGTGTCTTTTGAAAACAACCAAAATGGCTAGCAATGAGGAAATCTGAAATACAGAAGCAGTACCTATATGATTTAGGAAAAGCTAATGGATGACTAGGTTGTCACATACTTTACGCTTCTGGACAATGGGCATCACTCAGACAAGTGCAGGCAGCACAGACAGATTAGACAGAAAAAGGAAATGTAAAAACATGAAGTTCTTGTATATGTACACTACAAATACATAGGAAGTCACTTAAAAACTAAAGTCTACATGGTCTCCCTTTCTCTTATTCTCATTCTGACTCATCTGTCACTTTTATACCTTCTTTGGAGTTTATTCTGACCATTTTTTTTATATCTGTGGGTTCTGTAACAGAGATAAAGTCAAAGTTCTTCATGACTTTTATGTTAAAATAAACTCCACTATATCTGATGTTACTTCTAATTGTTCACCACAAAACAGGTTAAATATAAAACCTCACTTGAGAAAAGGAAGCAATGGGACAAACACCATCACCCCTCAACGCCAAATATTCTTAATTTGTCACAGAAGTGCCAGTTCTCCTACACTACATACCAGTTCCTTCTTCCAACCACTGTTTTCTCCCTGGGCATATGCACTCATTTCATTCAGAAGACTGCAGACTGCACAGGGGATTTACAAATTGAACACTGATCCCAGGAGAACTGAGGTAAAGGCATAAAAGTGACAGTACTGAAACTAAAAACATGGTTTTCTACACCTGCTGAAACTTAACTTTACACCTGAGAAAGAGGAAATTCACTTATTCTGCTTACTTCCCTCTCTCTCTTTGTTTTGTTGGTTTTTTTTTAACAGTTGCTGATATTTGCATCAGAAATGAAAGTGATAGTGGTTTTTTCTGTGCTGGTTGCTTATCCCTGACCTGAAACTGTAAATGTGCTCTGGGGCACAAACTATGCCATCTTTAGCTTCACAAATCAAGACAAAGAGAATTATTTTATTTGCAAAAGTTTTCTGATTTTATTTCTTTTGCCAGATCATAACTCTTCTCCTACTGGAGGCAAAGATTTCCAAACAGTATCTACTAATACTTACACTTCTCTGTTCACAGCAGTATTTTTAACACAAAAGAAGTCTCTTCATTAACTGTTTCTCTCTAATTTCAATCAAGGGATCCTAAGAATTCTAACCCTTGTTTTATTATGTATGAGACTGTCTGACTACATTCATTTCTCTTCTACAGGGTTTTTAAAATCAAAATAACAATCTTCTTCAAGCTACTCTAAGGTTTTTTATAAACTAGTCTCAAAAATTAGAAAAGCAGATGATTCGTCCCAATAAATGAGCAAGCTGAAGTTTTACACTATCCTTATGATAAACAACCTTCCTTTTAGTAAGGACTAGATAGGTTTGTAAGAAACAGAAGGAGGTGGCTGAAGCAGTGAAATATCAAATGAAGTGTCTCCCTGTGACGTCCAACCTTTTAAGGGGAAGGAAGCACCTAAGGGTGGAACATCACCCTCCCTCCTGCAATACATACTGTGCATGTTTAGTTTATACGGGGTTAAGATGCAGTTGACCAAAATTAAAGAAATATCCGTTTAGTTACTATGAACACAGGCAGAGACTTTTGTTCAGGAATTCCCTGCACCACAACTTGCCAGAGGCTGCAGGAGTATTCCCAGGAAGCATCACTACATGCTTACCCGTCATTCCCTAGGCATTCCCTGGGCTAATTAGATGTTTGGGCCAGTAGAGCCACTCCCCTGCTGTTTCACCCACTCGAATGAATGCCCATCTGTGGAGGTCCATACCTGTCACTCAGGTTATCAATTGGTGAGCCCAGTCTATCAGGCAGCCTCCTCCGCTCCGGTGTGCCAATGCAATACCGGTCATTACCAACAGTAATCCACAAACTGTGTTCCAGTGAAGACTCAGAGCGGAGACTCGGTGAACGTCTCTGTAAATTGAAGAAAGAGTGCAAGCCCATCAATCAGGGAATTTTAATCTCAGCTACAGAAAGGCAAGTGACTCTGCTCTGCTTAATAAATGAGACCTGGGGTGGATGGACCAATTTAAAAAATCAAACTAGAAAAGCAACTGTTCCAAATATTTCCATCGTCTTCAGTTACTTAAGAAACAGGAGGGCATTGACTGAGTTTAATTTCTCATCCCAGATGCTAATAACATGCTCCATATTTAAATTGTCTAGAAGAGAAATTTTCAACTTAAAAATACATTCCATAAAGCACCATTTCAGAAAGCATAAAAACAGAGAGAAGTTCACAAAGTCCCAGATTTGCTACTCTCCTTCTTTCTTTGTAGAGAAGCAGCAGCTAAATAAACATGGAATAAAAAACACTGCCAGGAATTTCTTAATAAAAGTATCTGGATTTCTGGACCTTTCCAAATTCAGTAACAACAGGAACCAAAGTATAAACCATTGTAAACAAATATTTTCCTAGTAGTCATGGTTTCAACAGTTTTTCTCACCTCATGCTGCTTTCAATAGATAAACCCAATAGATAAACCCAACATAATACTAAAAACACCAGTGACACTAGAAACACCTTCTATAATAGAATTCTCATTACCATTATTTATTATTGGTAGAGATAAATCAGAGCTAAGTAAAGTTCCCTTTGAAAAATCTAAGGCAGAGAAGGCCTGAGTAATTGCCTCTGCATGGATCTTCCATTGGACACATACACAGTACAAAAAATGTCATTATTTGTAAGTTTTGCTTAACCAGATACACCTCACATTATTCCAGAATATGGCATTAGAATACAGGAATGATCAAAGTAACGGGAGTTTCATAAGAAACAGATGACACTGCCTGAAGACAGAGATACGTGATTTGCTTTTTTAAACCAACACAATTTAGATCCTGCTTAACACAAAGCAATGCACCAGTTTCAATTCTGCCAAACCAGTCATGCACCACATATTGCTTTCACTGCAGAAAATTGCAGTACCAAGCAGCAGGTGCACTATATTTATTGTCTGCATCCACCCCAAGAACATGCAGCAGATTCAACTCAATCCTCCAAGAGAGCAAAAGAACAGGACGTAATCTCCAACAAGAAAGCAAGGGAATTCCCTCACACATTTGCCTGAACAAAATTCACTTGCGGTACAAATCTGCACTAGAATCCATTGTGCACATAATGTTATTCAAATATAACGCATTAGTGATTATTGGTTTGTTCTATTAATCTGAATCTCAGCATTTATCAGAAGACATTTTAATTACTTTTTAAGGTCAGCTGTATTGTACAGCACAGCCTGATCCTGCAACCGCCTGGCTGAGAGACACAACATATACAAGGTGCATGTGTCTCACACAAACACACTCTGAAGGCTCACTTGTGCTCATTATAATGCCGAATTTTGACAGCTGCCTCAAGAAGTGACTATCTTCGAGGGCATCTTCTTGTCATCAAGACTTTTAGCAAGTTGGGCACATAGATGACAACCATCTCCACTGAAGAGAGAGAAGTGATGATTACACCTCAGAACAAACTGGGCAAAAGAAAGAAGTAGTTTTCATTAAGAAAGTTAACGATATTAGGATTGCCTGTGACGCCCTACAGGTTGCCCAGAGAGAGCAGTTACAGCAGTATATATTTGAACTTCATGATTTTTTTTTCCCCCAGTTTGAGAAATTTCAGTTTTAAAAGGTTTTTGCATTTGGAGCTTTGAACACCACCACTAGTCATTCCTACCTATGCACTGCACTGCATTTCTCTCCTTCCTGTTCTGTCATCTAAACCACAGTTACTACTGCCACATTGCTGAACAGGTTGCACACCTGCTCATCATTTCTCCATTCTTTGTTGACCCAACATGCTCCTATCCTCTAATCTCAGCCAATTTTCTTACAAGAAAGCAAAGAAGCTTAGAGAAACTACAAAAACAACAAGCACACAGATCAGCCAGGATAAATAAAAGCAGCATGTGTCAGCCTTGCAAAAACGAATAGAAGTCCACCAAAATCTCTCACTGTAAAGCCCTGACCTTCCTCTTCTCCATTACATTTTTCAGTACTCACCCCAAACCTTTGCTGTCACTCCACGTTCTTCCAGTCACCACAAGGTTTTCCCCAGCTACTAAGAAACTAACACCATCCATACTTATAATGTCCAATATGTGCAATACACACAGCTCCACTGGCAGTCAGCATCCCAGCTATGCATGAGAAAATATGCAACAATGCTGATAGCCTAGGAATCCATGCAATCTAGCTCACAAACAAACAAGCCCCAAAACAGAATCACGAAAACGGAGCAAGAAATCTCTAAGGCTGCTCCTTTCATACTCCAATTCATTTGAAGGATAAGGACATTAACACAGAGCTTGCACTCAAATCTCTTCTGCATTTCAAGCCCATGCCCTTACCTCATCAGTGTCTTCATTCCATACACTGTATCTTCCACCCTTATGCATATATTCCCCTCTTGCAAGTCCTCTTTCCTTGTTGCAGCTTAAATTCCTATTCTTCAGGCTTCTGTCTGAATTCATCTCCTTTCAGTGACAGCTCCAAAATCTCACTAACGCATCTGTCTAACTTTCTACATTTGCACACTCTGCATCCTCAAACTTCTGAGAAGAGGGGGTTTCAAGTCATAAAAACCTAAAGATTTTATTAAAACTTTACCCAGTCACAATGACCTAACTTATCTGCCGTCTGTTTTGTTTCCATCACACATAGTTCCTTCCGCTCTTCGGAAAACATCAACATAATCCCAGCTTTTATCTCTCTCTAATTAATGCTACTTCTGTAAATAGTACTTTTAAAAAGTAAACCAAACCTGTATGTGTATTTTATGCTTTATAACAGCACTTTGAAAGAAGTAGTGTTGGTCAAACAGTTGCTGGGGGGCAAAAGTTACCATATAAAACGTGCACATTATACACTCTAAGAATTACTTATACTGGACTTTAGCAAATGCAAAAAGAGCTCCATTTAATTGTCTCAAAATCCCTTCCATTGTGAGAGTTCCTTTCTAGAAAAACATTTTCCTTAAATGCATAACATTTTTGTAAATCAACAAAAAATCCATTTGGATCGGCAGTTCAGCATTAGCTAGCCTGCTGAAGTCTACTTTCTAGGGTTAATAATTTCTCGATCCTTCTCCGTAGTTAGAACAGGCAAGAAAAACATCATTAATCTGCAACAATTTGCTGAGATTACTGCTTTAACCTGAGCCAGGAGGGTGCAAAATAACACTAGAAGAATAGTGTTTGTCAAGAATAATGTTTGTGTAAAGTCAATGTTTTTGGTGGCTTTTTTTCCCCCCACTAAAGGGGGAGTGGGAGCCTTCTAGTCAAAATCTCCTACATCAAATTTCTCCAAGTCTGAATCACCAACACATTCAGCACTGGAAATTTTGTTGCAGCCAGCACAGGTTCACAGTCTATTGTGGTTACAGTGAAATGGGAGACTGAGTGATGGTGAAGTCAGTTTAAGAAAGTTCTATCCCGTGTCCCAGTTTGCCACCCTGTCAATTGTGACCACGCAACTGTACATCACACAATCCCAAATTATGTGAATCAGATAAAAAAGTATTTCCTTTAAAAAAAGTTAGTTATTTTTATCCTGGATCTTACTAGCAATGCCATTTGCAAAGCTACCCCAGGGGAAACTTAGAGGACTGAGATAAGGGTGAAATACCACATAAAATCAAATGGCCAGAGGCAAGCTTTTTAGCCTGGCTTGGCTTAACTGCTGTCAAACACACCATCTTCCTGTATCTTCAGGGCAGCTGACCTTTCAATAAGAAATAACACCAACAACTGAATTTTAACTCCACTACAATCACTTGTAACCTCTTCTATGGCCGGCAACTCCAAAGAAATCCAGTAAGAACATGTACCAACATCAGAAACGATTATTCTCTCTTGGGGTCCCATCAGCACACAATATAGTGCTTGGAGTGACTTTCAGCAACCTCGTTGCCTCAAATCAGCTCACTCTGCAACTTCAAAAATCCAAGTGTGAGCACAAGGGAGCAATACACTGCAAAGCAAGAGGGAAAAGCGAGTAGACCGTTCTTTCCAACTGTGCATGTGCTGGACTGAGTGACCACAGAACTACTGCCTGAAATACCCCAGTACGAAAATTTCTTCTTTCAGCGCAAAACAAAAGCTTAATTAACCTATTGTATACCACAGTTATCAGACAAAACAATCGTTGAACCAAGGAGTGACAAGAGAAAAGCTAAGTGAGTGAACGCCACTCAAAAGTAAAATCTAGCTTGACACTTCGGTTTAGTACGAAGGTGTCTGCATCCAAGATGGCATCACTTCAGATGCCAAAACAGTTTCACGTGCCCAAATCAGACTTTGCCAAGAATGAGTGAGAAAACCGAAACACCCTGTGCAAAGCCCCAACTACAAAGCAGTGCCTATCAAAGAACACCTCTCAAAGATATAAATCAGGAACAGTTCTCTTTGTACATCCGTGACAGCAGGAAGAATTCACACAAAGTACTCATTCAACATCCTATTAAAAAAGTTATATTCCCATGACTTAAAGGATATTTATGCATTAACACAAACCAAAGTGTTAAATGGAGGTAACTAGTTAAAATCTCTGCAAATACAATCTAGCAAAAGACAACATCATCTTTGAGCTTTACCTAAAACGGCCCTAGCCGATAAGACAGAAATAAAAATGCAATGGAAATCAGAGGATAAACACTGTCTAAAATTGAATTTCTTTTTCTTTTGAATTTTCCATTTAGCTATCTAAAGAACAGGGATGAAATCACCCTTCTCCCTCGGAACGCGGAGAGCCCGGGGCCGGTTCAATTATGTACGGATCACGCCGGGCTAAGTCTGGGGCTCTGACAGCCCTTCTGGGAGAGGGGGCAGGACCCGCACGGCGACCCTCCAGCACTATTTACCCGGCTGCTGCCGCTGTCTCCGTGCTCGCTGCCCCGGCGGCCCCGGGGCCCGCCGAGCCCCGCTCCTCCCGGCGGCGATGGCAACCTCCTGCTGCGGTGCGGCGACGGGGACCGGCGGCAGGGCCCGCGGTGTCCCGACGGGGAGCGGTGGCGGCGAAGCGGCGGCGGACGGGGCGAAGCGGAGCGCGGCGGCGAGGCGGCGGCGGCGGCGGGCAGCGGCGGGGGAGGCCGCCCGTGGCCCGGCCCCGGCCCCGATGTGCTGAAGCGGGAGACGCGGGACGCCGACGAGCCGCCCTCCTTCAGCCGGTGGGAGGAGGACGAGGATGAGGACGAGGGGCCGGAGCGGCCGCTGCTGGAGCGGTACATGATGGCGCCGGCGGCCCGGGGGTCCCGGCGGCTCCTCCGACCCGGCCCCCCGGGCGTGCGCGCCGCCGCCGGCCGCCCTGCGCGCTCCCGAGCCGGGCGGGGGCGGGGAGCCCGGGCCGGGCGGGGGCGGTACCTGGGGACGCCCGCACAAAATGGCGGCTGCCGGGCCCCCGTCACGTGTGGCTTGGCCGGGCGGGAGGCGGGAGCTGCTGCCGTGCTCGGCTGTCCCTCCTTCTGTCCCTTTCTATACGCTCAGTTCCCCAGCGACGGGGCACATTCGGCTTTGGTTGGTTTTTTTGTTGTTGTTGTTGTTTTGGGTTGTATATGTTGTTAGGGGCTTTTTTTTCCCCGCGCACTGTGCTGTGGAGCTGGTCAGGACGGGTGTTGTCCTGTTGTCCTCCAGCAGAAGTGTGTTTAGGAGCAGTCCTTGGCTGCTCGACGCGGCAGTGCTGAGGCTGAGCCTCCAGCTCAGAAAACTCCTGAACTAATTTCCGAGCTCTGTCTGCCAGGAGCAGGGATGACACGATAGGAAATGGCTTCCCGCCTTCTCCCTCTGCCCTGACCTGACCACCTGCCGCCGACCGCGCTTGGCGCGAGTGAGCGACTGCGGAGCTTCGATTCTCGTGAGAAGGCTGACACATTATCGTGCTTGATGCTCTGGGCTGTCTCCGGCGAGGAGGAGTGTTTTCGAGTAACTGAAAGGGGATAGCAGTGGAAAGAAGTGAAAGCAGAAGAATGAAGGTTCTCATAAAACTGTTCATTTCCAAAATTCCCGAGTTTCAGTATCTGGTTTACCGACGGGGAGAAGTTTCCAGCATTAGGTTTGTAATTTATTTTTAGCTAGACGACATGTGAGAGCTTGTATTTGAAGACCCAGTCAGTTTTTGCAGGCTTGGATGAAATTTTGTCTGTGCGTTTGGGAATGTGTTTGTTAGAACACAACACACCATTTGAAGCATACTATTTTTAAGTAGTCGCAACTAAGAGCAGTAGGCTGATGGATGGGGGTCTGTCTGATACTATAATAAGGTATTTCTGCTGGGAGTGGTTTAGTACAATTGTATTAAAACTAATTGACTGACATTTTCTGAGTGCATTGCTACACAGGCTCAGGAAGTGTGCTCAGTTACACCAATTGCCAAAATAAACACGATCTTTATAAAGACTCTTGTTACCACTGTCCACTCTTCCCCCTTCTGTCCTGAGGCTGACAATGTTTATCAGTAACCTTAATTCAATTGCAAGTATCCTGGGATGAGAATTTCATCTTGGAGGATGCTCAGCAGACTGCTTCCACTGGGAGCAAACCACAGTGGAGGTGGAGGCAATGGATGTTCAACCTGTTCCAGTTCACTACCCTAAGCAGCAGGCTCAGCAACACTCGGAGAGGCACAGAGCTGTGCCTTAATATAACTACAAAACTGATGTGTATGTAGCAATTTCCCCTCTATTTTTCTGATGTAGATTGCATCCAAGTAGTTTATTGCTATACGGAATATACTGTTATCCCAAATGTTTTCTGTTTCTTCATTAAAAGAGGAACCATGTTTTCATGCATTAGAGTCAGGTGTCCACATCAGTGTTCAGTTTCACCAACTGAAGTAAGTAAAAATAGCCAGGTAAGAGTGAGAAAATTGAGTTGTTTGGTTTTGGACATCTCTTCCATGCTGTTGCTTTCTTTACATCAGTTTTAAACCACAGTTTGGTTTCAAAGCAGTCAAGAGTAAAAAGCCACAAACCGAAAACCCAAGCAAATTCTCTTTATTTTTAATCAGTTTTACATAAAAGTTATGCATCTAATATCTAAAAATTTTGCAAAACCCCCAGAACTTGAATTTTTTTTCTGGCTTCCTTTTGCCTTACGTCTAAAGGAGATCTATAGGATGTGTTCTGATGGTCATAGATTTAAGAGGCAATTGGAAGGTGAAGGAATCCAGATACTGAAAATTAATGGAAGTTTGTTAAAACATTTTATTTATAAGTAAGTAAACTGCTTAAGCAGAAATGGTAAAAAGAAAGCAAATACCCTGTATGTTGTGGTGTTAAAAGAGTTCAGAAGAGAAAAATGCCAGTTGGAGACTGACTAGTGCTCATTAACATTTTGTGGCACCCTGTCATCTTACTGAGCATCACTTTACAATTACAATTTATAATTGCAATTTATAAGTACCTTTTGAACTAGCTGCCATGTCATCTTTTCAATCACATGCCTTGCTGAGCTAAGTTTTTAAGGGAACTGAGCATCCACAGTGGTATTCAGTTAAATTATTCCTAAAATCAGTACTGAAATCGGGGCTCGATGGTGCAGAGCAAATTTAGAGTCTTCACACCTTTGGAAGAGGAAGCAGTACAGTTTGTCTCAGGGATGGAAAAAATCAGGTGAGGTCCTTACCTGCTTTGCAGAGGTTGTTCTGACACTCCTGTGACTGGTGCTCCAGACTCTCACTGGACAGAAGATGTGACAGTCAGTCTGCTCTGCTCTAAGTTCAGCTCCTAAACTCCTCTTTGGAATTCCAAAGCTCATAACTGAACTTGCAGTTAGCTGCTGCTTGGAGGGAAGGGATTTGGATGTCTAGTTGGATGCTTAGGACAATGCTGTGGTAATAAGGTGTCTCTGAATTCTCATTAGGCCTCAAATGAGAAAGAGGGGGGGGGGCAAACACATTGAAAAAGAACAGAGTGAGAAAAGTTAGCAGTAGCTCATTATGAACAAATAATCACAATTAAGTTAATTCAGGTTGGACCATTGGGTTAAGAAGCAAAACAGTAACAGAGAAAAATGTAAAACCTTCATTATAATTTCTTCTTATGTCTGAGTCAAGACTAGATCCAGGGGCATGAGACAACAATGCAGCACTCCTGTAGTGTTAAATGGACAGGCTATGAGTAAGAACAAAGACAATTTCAGTGTTTTTATGACAGAATTGGTCTTCTCGTGAGAAGATGTAGTGGAAGATATTCCTGTCTTCTGAACTGGGCATTACTTTTTGCCTGGAAAACAGGGCACAGTATGTATCTTGTGTCTTCAGATCCAGGCAAACTGGCCTGCTCATGAAAAATTTTGGACTGAGACAAGTAATCAAGCCTTCCTTAGTCATGACATCGGGGAATTTGAGTATGGTCCAACTGATACCAGAGCCCTGGCTGAGAGCACAGAAAATGCATCCAAACAGGCAATTGCTTTCAGAGATTTTACATCTGTAATTACAAGGTTGAAATTTCTGAATTTAAAGCTTGTCTAGACTGGCTTCTGTTTCAGCTCAGTATTTACTTTTAGCTGGGAAGTGGAATGGGCATGCAGCCTACACTGATTCCCTGAGTTCTGGGAGGGGTGCTAAGTAATCTGTTAAAAAAGGATTTGTAAGAGAAGGGGGGGAAGCAGTCTCCCTTTGACAGATAGCACTTCCTCACTGGGGCTATATCAATCTAGAGCATTAACAGACTGGTTAATAGGCAATTAATAAAATCTGGCCTGCATGGCCTATGGAGGTGGATTAAATTAAACCTGATGTTGATAGGGTTTTTTTCTATTTTGAAGGCTTTGATTTTTTAATAAATGTCAGGTGTATGATTATTTATAGTGTTCAAGGTACTTTGTAAGCAACGTAGCACATATCTTAAATCAATCAAATACGTAGCAGTAACTGTCAAGGGCAGCAGTATTCAGGAGGAGGGGAAATAGCCAAAAGGAAGCCAAAAAGGAGGAACATCTACTTAAATTCTTGCTGTGCTCCTATTTAAATGTATTTAAATTTACAGGCAGCTTCCAGAACAGTTAGGGTAGATTGGTATTCTAGGGTTCCAAATAAACCCTCTTGGTGTTTATTTTCCCATATGAGTGTAGGTAATGCTTTCTGTACCAAAAGGAATCTGTGGCACCAGAAAGCTGTCCGTCTGTTGGTTGAAATGGAAAAGTTCATGCTTTTGAACCTGAAGTGGTTAGGAGAGATTAGCAAGCAGAATGCAGCACGAGAAAAAAAGAGGATGCTAGAACACAATGTGGTTGAATGGAAAAGCTCTGAGAGTGATTACTTCAAGGGAGAAAGGATGGTCTTTGGATACTTCTCTGGTATCTTATTAAGACAGGGAAGGTGGTTGTTTGGTTGAAATTTTTTGGTTTTTTTGTTATTGTTGTTTTGTTTTCCTTTGGAAATATATAAGACATCAGAACCATGAAATGTGAAATCCCATTCACTTGTGTGCACCTCAGTGCTCCAGCCTCACACATTCCCTATTTGCTGTTTTGAGAGTTTGCTGCCTTCACAACCTCTTCAGGAAAGTTAAGTCTAGAAACCTTTGGACAACCTGTGGAGAAAAAAGAGTAGACTGGCCAAATACACACAGTGTACAATGTCAGCATCCAGCTTGGTCACAAAAAGGCAGCTCTGACAAACAGGCAAAGATTGTTTTCAGGGATGTGAGAAAAGACAACAATTAACAACGAGATAGATATTTTTATATATATATAGAGAGAGAGAGGGAAAATGCACTCTTCTGTGCCTTTCAATTGTAACTATGTTTAGAGGGTACTATGGCCTCCAAACTCTTCTCTGCTGTTCTACAGCCCCTCAGCCAGATTACTCTTTTGTCTCAGATCAGAATGTTACTGATATTTTCCTTCCTCAGCACCCCACTGATAACACTTCTAAGCTCAGAGAATGCTTTATTATATCTCTGGTGAGCTGCATGTTGAAAGTAAACTTTTCTACCTGTGATGAGTTATTTACAGGGATATACTTATTTTCCCTGGCAAGAGAGTACTGAAGGAAGGTTTGGGACAGGGAAGCATTAAGAACTGGTATAAAAATCGCCAGTAGCAGCTGAAATTGCCAGGTGGTGTGGTGATGTTTACAGCACACTCCTGTTACTGAATAATAGTCCAGAGGGGATAAGGCTGGAGGTCCTCTCCATTTTGTTTTCTCTCAGTGGAAGGTTGAGCATCCACTCACACCCTCAATGCAACATGCTCTCACAGTAAAGACTTGAGCATCTTCTGTGGTGGCTGCTTTCATGGATGTGTTTATGCTCCAGACAGACATAGCCACTGAACAC